GGCGACAAAAAAGCCTCATTACAACNTATATATATATATATATATATATATATATATATATATATATATATATATATATATATATATATATATATATATATATATATATATATATATATATATATATATATATATATATATATATATATATATATATATATATATATATATATATATATATATATATATATATATATATATATATATATATATATATATATATATATATATATATATATATATATATATATATATATATATATATATATATATATATATATATATATATATATATATATATATATATATATATATATATATATATATATATATATATATATATATATATATATATATATATATATATATATATATATATATATATATATATATATATATATATATATATATATATATATATATATATATATATATATATATATATATATATATATATATATATATATATATATATATATATATATATATATATATATATATATATATATATATATATATATATATATATATATATATATATATATATATATATATATATATATATATATATATATATATATATATATATATATATATATATATATATATATATATATATATATATATATATATATATATATATATATATATATATATATATATATATATATATATATATATATATATATATATATATATATATATATATATATATATATATATATATATATATATATATATATATATATATATATATATATATATATATATATATATATATATATATATATATATATATATATATATATATATATATATATATATATATATATTCACGAATTATTTCGGAATATTTCTTTCTATCCCGCTAAATGTTCTTTTTATCTTATCCGACAGAAAACTCATAAAACTCCGAGGTTTTACAAAAAGAATTGCTTACCATTGGCGAAAATGTCAAATCGACATCCTAGCAAGGATGTAAAACCTCCATTTTCACCATACTAGCACCCAGTAGATAACAAATTGCAGCCTGCGTTAGAGGTTTAGGCAGCTATACGTTATCATAAAGAAAGTAGGGCACATAAAGAACATAAAAAATAAATAACTATTGTTGCTTGAAAATAACAATTGTATTGCATATATTAAATTGAAATGATATTAAGCACATTACATCCTACAGTGCATTATTTTAGAAACCGTGAAACAAATGACTAATTTCATAAATTTCCTTTTACTATTTTTATGTTTAGTCTTGTTTAAATCACTTCACATTTTCAATTTGTCCCTTTGACAACTGATTGTACAGTTAAACAAAGTTTATATATTCATTTAGATAAGATGGAAATACATTCTAGAATTTCTTTGTTCAAAATATAGAACTAATCAATATTTTCTAAAAATATCATCTGTCAATAAGCTCTGATTTTATTCCTTCCCCTTTCTTTATTGTTTTATTCATTTCATTTATTTATTTTCGTAAATAATAATGTTGCTACCTGAGATGTCAATGAACTGCAAGGTAATGCATAGGTATGTTTAGATTCCCTCGAATGCACTTTTTAAGCTTTTTGAAAGAAGATTAAATAAATAAAAACTTTGTAAGCTTCATAAGTTAAATTTAATTAAGTTCCACATGTTTGAAAAGTCCAAAGCATGACGCTTTTCTCCTAGACAACAGGTGAATGATGAACAATGTAGAAGCAGGTTTTTGTAAAGAAGTCAAAGTTGCTAAGATAAAGGGGAAGAGAAAAATTATTTTGGAAACAAACATAAAGAAAATGGAATTTTAGCTGCTAAAGCAGGTAAATTAGGACATAATGTAAATTCCTGCGCAACACAAAGATGGAACAGAAATAAAATAATTTAATAGAAATTCGGCATTAATGTGAAAGAAACAAGACATCAAGATTATCTGATGAACAAAAGGAATTATGGTTTTTCCGATATTTATAAAGGGTAAACCAACCAGTGAAGGAACACTACCCAGTGAAGGAACTTTTAAAATATATATATATGGATTAAAAATAAGAATTTGAAAGTTTTTCTTTAGATTGACTGGTAACAACAGCTTACTTCCAAACAATAGGAAGTCATCTAGCAATGTTTTGGATTACCTGGTCAAATAGACTTCTCTGGAAAAATTTTTGAATTTGTTATTATCTCTGCAATACCTTGCTTCTTTGAAAAAATTATAAGGTAAGTATTTGTATTCATATGTTTGAAGCGGAATTAATTGCATGTAATAGTTTTATTTTTCTAAATGTGAAAAAGAGAATTCAAAATATAGTTATTGAAGTTACGTTTTATTTTTTTAAGCATCTACTGCATAATACTGCATTTTTTTACTGCATAATAAACTACTGAGATAAGGGGGTGTTTATTCACTGGATCACCAAACGATTAAAAACCAGTGAAGGAAGTGTTCCTTTACTAGGTTTTTTTCTAAGTTAATGAAAATAAAAGATAAACTTTAATTTTCTTGTACCTTTAGTGATGTTCCGCATCAAAAGTATGTTAAGGAGCGACAGCCCAT